GCACAGAGTGACATTCCCCCAACACAGTCCTCTTTCAGGGAAGCTCGGGTCTCCTTCAGCCCTCCTTCGTGCTTTCCCTTGATAATTGTACACAACGCACCGATATATGGAGGGTCGGTCATGATTATTTTCACACCATAGCGTCCCATTTCACCGTTTGTTCCTAAGCAAACGCCGAAGGTGTCCTCCTGGGGAAGCGATGGAGACCCGCTCTTGGCGAGAAAATCCCTTGGCAGTGCTAGGTGTAGTTCGCTGAACTGTTTGCCCAGAAGATGTTCTACCTGGCCAGAAAGAAAAAGGAAGCCAGTATTTATTTCAAACAAAAGGAAAAGAAAGGGGATTCGAGTCTCCAAATACAGTGGCGTCACTAGGGTTCGTGTCACGCCGTGCAGGACTCATAGTGTCGCCCACATCGTCGACCTCCTCCCACATCAGACCATACGGAATCCTGGGTATGGTCTTTTGTACTAATGTTAATGGTAAATCGTAATTCCCGTGTATCGCTCCTTCTTTTCCCTTAAATTACTGCTTCATTCTCAGCATGTATATCTCTCTCTATATATATCTATTATATATACACACATAGGTTCAGAAATACTAATTACCACGGTATTGCCCCTAAAACACCAGAAACTTTGACCAAATCAGCGATTACAAAAACCCCGGCAGCAAAGAAAACAACCGCAGACACACGGCGAAACCACGGGTTTCCAAGCGTCACTGTAATTGCGTGAAACTGACAGCTCTCCGCAGAGGGCGTTATAAGGTTCCCAAAGTCAGTGAGTATAGTCTTGTTAACCTTGTAGTTAGTTATATGGATACACGTAAGCCAGGCTTACGAAAACTGTTTTTGGAGTTATATCTAACTACAGGGATATTGTTTTAAAAATAATACATTTCTGCTGAAACGCAGCAAAAGAATGTCTGGACAGTCATTCCGGCGGTCCTCTCTGACAACGTCACCTGGCGTGGGTGTGGTCCGCATCGCCTCTACCCCCCAACCCGTGACGCCACTGGGAAAACTAGGCAAATCCCTTTGGGTAGTCACATAGGCGCGCACGTGTATCGGGGATACATTGGCTCTTTATC